CCCCAAAACCCCAAAACCCCAAAACCCCAAAACCCCACATTCAATGATTGGATGGTAGTTTTTCATAAGACCAATTAAAAATTAGAAATCTTAAAGTATTTGGCAGATAATAAAATACCATCAATGGAGACAGGAATCTTTTAGAGTGCTAAAAAGACCATACCCTTAGTTTTGCTTTATGAACTTTTGGGTTCAGCTTTGATAACTTGTGCTTACCAGTTAAGTGCGAGTCGAACTGAGATAGATAATGGAGTTAGAGCTGCTGCTTTCATGGTGGGATGGATTATAGCATCGACCATTTCGGGAGCTCACTTTAATCCCGCATTGTCACTGGCTGTTCTAATCTATGAAAGGAAAAAATCATATATTAAGTATTACTTCATGATCATTACTGCTCAATTGGTTGGCTCATTTCTCGGAATATTAATCGAATTTTTACTAGCAAGATTTTACAGAGTAGAGCTGTACCCTGAACAAATGACAATCAATGATGGCTAGTTACTTTACTTCAAGATTGAAGATAATGGTGACTTGACTCCCTACTATGCACGCTTGCTATTTAGTTAATTCTTAGCCTCGTTTACCTTTTTCTTTGTGACTCTTATAATAAAGTACAAGAAGGCATTATCTACAGTTGAGGATCCGATTAAAGGTTTGGGAATATCTTTGTGTCTATACTGTTGCTATGTTCTGACCAGAGGAAGTGGTGCTGCTTTAAACCCATGGTTTGGCTTGACTCAAAGCATTTTATACTTCGGAGCTATCTCAAACTAAAATAGAGAGATCTCAGATTATGATAAAATATTTTGGATATATATTTTGGCACCTTTTGTAGCAGGGGCTTGTGCAGGTTTATTCACAATATTTCACCACAGAATTGAGTCCTTAGGAATAGAAGTCCCTCTTTCAAACTCAATAATTAACGATACATTTAGATAAACTATCATTAGAAAGAGTTAATATAACAAGTAAGGAAGATAAACATACAGAGAAAGCACTAATAACTCAAAAAATTTTGGCGTCCAAGAAAAGAGTTTTGAATCTGCAGAGTAGCTACTTCTGGTAACTTAAGAATGACTTTCTTATCAGAAAAAATTATAATTATGATAAAATTTTACTCAATTAATATCATTACCCTTTAATTTTTAATTTTTTGCTTAATGGGGTTTTGGGGTTTTGGGGTTTTGGGGTTTTGGGG